GCTTCGTAATGAGTGCTTCATGATGACTGATTTGACCCAAAATGAATGCGATAAATCGTGAAAGATCTCTTCGGAAAAATGGTGTCTCTGTGTAAAGAAATTCATAATCTGTTGAAGCCGATAGATTTAAATCTGGTGGCATCCCCAAAGCCACACAGTGAGCATTAATAGCGACGATTAATGAACGATTTCGGGATTCAATATCACCCTTTGCATCACTTGCTGCTATTCCTATAACAGTTCCATGATCTTTTTCTCCAACATCCGAAAAGCTGGTGGCCATCCTATGTGGTTTCCCGAGTACATCCGCGAAAACAGGAACAATTCTATCTTGACCTTGCCCAAAAACAATTACAACTATCCTCTCATCTCCCATACCAGCTTTACTCCCATTAATAATTCCATTTGTGCTCTTCGGCCGCGTAGGCGTCGGAGACGATTGTTGCTGTTTGGTTGCCATAGATTCGCTGGAATTTGTAATTGACAGATTGGAGAATGTTTGAGGAAGTCCTTGTTGACCTTCAGAACTTCGGACGAAAGCTTCTTGACGAATAATTTTGCCGGTTGTTAGATTTGAAGTGGATGATGTTGTACCTGGGTAAATAGGCTTAAAGTATTTCTGACGGGTAAATGTTAATGAGGGACTATCGAAGGCGCAATATGAATGATAGCTTCGAGTATTAAGTTCGGGGTTGGCGATAGTTGAAGTTTGAAAGTGGAATTAATATCTTGTTTGCGATATTAATGTATGTATGTACCTTTGTAGGTATGTACAAGTCCAATAATCTCAAGGTTAGGATAAAATCGATTTCATACTAAATTTCTCTGTACTACATGGCAGCCCGTGATTTATATATAAAAGTGCGGGAGTGACAGTGATAGACATCCGAGTTGAAAGAGAAGGTAGAACTCTGGGCCAACTGTGAGAGGAAAAGGTATGGGAGGTAAAATTGATATCGGGTATTTCCATGCACTGTACTGCAATATAATATTGAATTGAGATGTGGTGTGGTGTGATTGCGATTGCTTATTCGTAGCTCGTTGGTTTGCTAGAAAATGTTCGAGAGGCTATCGAAATTTCGCCGAAGAGTTTTCGATTAAGTTTTGGAAGGGGGATGAAGGGGGGTGGTTTAGAAAGAAGGCTGATTGAAGTGATGAACTATTGGAAGAAGTTCATGCAACGGAGAGTGAAGAGTGGTAAACGGAGTTATGATCTTGATAGGATTTTAGAGACAGGATTGATAGGGCGATTGCTTCGTTCACTCGTGTGTGTTGATACCGTTCTTTCTCTACCAGCCTCTTGCTGTTTAGATTGAGATTGCCCGTCTGGTGTTGGTAGTGGCGTGTGTTTTTCCTTAATCCGTCGAGTAGCGAGTAATATTCAAGCCATTCTCATGCAATCTCATGCCAAGTTCGATGTGGAAAAAGAGAAAGAAATCTCGTCCTCGGATTGAACAGCAACGGTTATGGAAAAATAGAAAAGATAACAAACTCACTCTCGGTGAAGATTGTTCCACCGACAAAGCAGCTTTGTTTAAAAGGAACCTTGCGACCCTGCATATAAATTTGAGGGCGATAGGTTTAGATGTGATGTTGAACTGGGGGGAAAAACTAAGGGGAATGCCAAAAGATGGGGAATTTGGAGAAGTGGAGGTAAAATTGGTCGGTAGCCAGGGGGTAATAATCTTCCGCCAATGATAATCCCGATAGGTAAGAAAATAGATGGATATCTCGTTTTTTATAGTTATGGAAAAGGATTCAACAAATTAATCTCCGAACACTTCCCATTCAATATATTGCTTGTTTGTTTCTGTGAGGACGCATGGATTGATCAACAGTATCATCTTTGAGGGGAGACGGTATATAAGTTAGACTACTCATACCCGAGGTGTTAGATACGTATGTATGTTGATATCCTCATTCTCTGTCTTGGTCTTGCTTACCTAGATCAAAATATCTACCATTTGTACCTACCCTACTTAGTAGAGAATAAGATTACTAGTCACGTTCGACTTCTCCAAGTTTTTTAGATCCTTGACATCGACAAAGACCTGGTAGTCCTAGAAGAAGAAAAATTGACTGTCAAAGACAATTAGATTGGATTCCATGAGTTCTAGAATAACTTCTCCACGTGCAGATCGGCGGCGTAAGGATATAGATTTCACGTTTTGGTGGTACGTTACACCATATAAAGACGTTGTAGAAATACTTTGAGAATACCCTGAGAATACTTTAAACGAAGGATTTATCCATACATTTTGCCTGATTACCTAGTAGATTTTCACACGAGTTTCAAATTAATTTCCTTCATCACTCTATGGAGTTGTATTGACATCTCCGTACGAATGAATTTGTTTGGTGGATATTGACATACATGCGCAGTCGAAATCTCAAATAATGGAACGGTTTTGTGGATGATAAATTTATGTGGTTAGTACACTCTGAAAGGGTCCTTCTCGTTACTCAACTGACAATGAACTTTGGAAAGTTTGGAGGTTGAATTGTCTTTATCTGTGCAAAACATCATCAACCGTACCCATTTAACGGGAAAATATATTTAGAGTTTTGCCTCTTCACCTATTCAATTAAATGCAAACATCGACAGTACGTTTTCCTTCGGCGCGGACCGAATATTTCAAATCTCTCTCCTTTCATCTCGAGATTTATGTCATCTGAGCGGTGGAAGGATCATTTACTGCTTGTTCATAAAATACTTCCACCTTGGCTTACAGTCTTATCGATATTTCGAGGAACATCCACATGATATAACCATGTGAAAGAGGAGTTTCAGGTTCAGAAGTTTCTCCTAACAGCTTCTTTATCTGGATGATGGTGCATATAAGACGAGGGGAGTTGTTGAGAATATCGTTCTCTGTATATCCTTTGGATTGAGAGACACTTATCGATGCTCCGAAATTGGTTCCTGGGAAAAGGAAAGGGAAGACGAAAATGGGCGAATGTGTAAAGTCTACATCTCACAAGTGTGAATGAGTTCTTCCAGTGCCTTTTGATGAGAGGAATCGCTAGAATACCACTTTTGTTGTTGTCAATGTCACTCCCTAAGTTGTCACTCCCCAAGTCTGGTTTGACAAAGATACACACGAATACCAACGTCAATGTGGGATTCATGACCGAACTAGATTTCCCATAATTGATTAATCAACTCGTTTCCCTCCCGCAAAGATGGCAAGAGAGCTACCCCAGAATATCACAAGTCGAGGGGTAAAAGCTGACTTCGTTAAACATGGAAAAAAGGTTGGTCAACAGTCATGTAGCTACCAATAAATCTTTCAAACATCGGTAACTCGTTTACCTGGTCTATCGATACATATATATCCGTGGTTAATGACGACGATGTCGTATCTCACCTCCTTCACGTGCGTCGGTTCCAAGGTGAAAAGTTTCTCCTCACTCCACAATCACCCCCACCTCGAGAAAAAGAATCCCCCACGTTTGAAAAGTCATTGGGTTAAGCCGTAGTATAACCTTACCCGATTGACACCGGAATCTTTGCGCACGAGCACCTGATTCCAATCCAATTCAATTCAAGCTGGATGGATCTCAATCGAGATAGGATGGAATTGCTTACATATGTATCTCCGATCCGATCCGGCCATTCCGGATTCCGTTCAAAACTTCATGAGGTCTGATGTCTACCCAGGTGGGTAGTAGGTACGAAGTAAACGACGTTACCCAGTAGTTCCCAGATGGCGAAACTCACTAGAAGGGATTTCTTTGATTGTAGTAGTCTACTGTTTTATTGTCTTTTTTTTTTTTTCATTCACCGTTGGGCTAGTATCTCAATTATATGGTTAACATGTTTCGAAAATTCTAGAAACTCAATTGTTCACGTCGTTTGGATTTTTTTCTTCTTTTTCCAATCTCCTTTATCGATTAATCTGATGCTGTCGCCAAAGTTTAATTAATTCTCTGGCCATCGCCCTATCGAACGTCATCTTCCTATATAGTAGAACGCCACACCCGCAACGCCTCCTAGAATTACTTGCCCAGGTGGTCTCCACTCCTCCAAATCCCCCAAATCTCCAACTGTAACCCGATTTCTGCACTCCAATTTCTCCAACCATGGAGTCCCCGATACCCCGTATGAAAAAGTAAAGACTATCTCAATTACTTCCTGTGGATGATCAATCAAATTACTTGACTTGGACACGTCAACAGGAGGGACTCAACTACTCACCACTACCCAGAAGGAAGCTGAGATAATGTCACCGAGAAAAGGACCGTCCAAATCTCCAAATCTCCATATCTCCATATACTCAGCTATTGTGGGTATTGACTTGATTCTCAAACCAAAACACGCGACAAATGATTGGAGTTTCGATTAAGATATATGGATCTTTCAGGGGATTTTCCTTAAGGAATTGCACCCGCTCAATGGTAAATATCCGGGCCGCTCGTAAAAAAAAAAAGGGTCAAACCATCAAGAACGACGTCATTTCTGGGCCATTTATCCATTTCACTAAGAGTTTAAAAATCAACCAGAATTTTTTCGAATAATGGACCACCTTCTATGGATCCTTGGGGACTCCAGAAACTCCATATGGAGGTTAGTTTTAAAGACACTCCAACTATTTAACTTTATCATTCCCTGTCGTGAATTCCTTGTGACCTCTCGGACCTGGGATTGTCACAAACTGTTAATGAGATATCACCGCCGGAGGTGAAGAGTCAGGAAGACTCGGCTTACCCCCGTCTCAAAACTCTGTCAATTGGGTAACTTTTTTCATTTCGAATCTAGTATCATTATTTGACACGAGAAATAACAAGACCGAGCAGCGAGCGAATGCCCATTCAGTTCTAGTCTCATGGCTAGACTAGACGTCACATTAAGATATATTTACAACCTCCCTCCTCTTCATCCGTTTTTCGTCTCACAAGTTTTACCTTCATCAGATTTTTCCTATATTTTTTAACTTTTGAATACACTTTAATTTCTAGCAAAGTCGATCTCACACTGTGTTCGTCAATCATCAGTGATCATGGCTCGCTTTGGTCGCAATCGCAATGGCGGTGTCGATAACAGCCATCCATCAACTGTCGTCAATATAGGAAATAACTCGATGGAAGCCACAACTGGAGCCAGGGCTTTCAATGCCAATTCCGAAAAGGGTGTTCATCAATACGAAAATCTCCATGTTCCTTCCATCACTTTGCGCACTATATTCATGACCATCTTGGTTGCAATGGGTGGATTTATCTTTGGTTACGACACTGGACAAATTTCTGGATTCTTGGAGATGGATGTTTTCCTTAAGAGGTTTGGTCAAAGAACTACGAACTTAGCAAAATACCCTAATGGATACTATTTCACAAATGTGCGATCTGGATTAATTGTTGGCTTGGTATGTTGTCACTCCGTTCTTTTATTTGAGCCCATCCCCCCTCCTCACTTTCTCACTCCAAAAATGGTACTAATAACTTCTAGTTATCCATCGGTACCTTGATCGGATGTTTGATTGCTGGACCTCTCGCCAATAGATTCGGACGCAGAACATGTATCCCACCTTGGAGTATGGTATTCTGTGTTGGTGTTGTTGCACAAATGGCTGTTGGTCCTGGTGATTGGGTAGGAATTGCAATGGGAAGATGGTGTGCTGGTTTAGGAGTTGGCGGATTATCGGTTCTTGTACCAATGTACATGGCTGAGACTTCCCCTGTCCCTGTAAGAGGAGCCGTTATTTCGTGAGTATTCCTCTTTGATTATATCGCATCTTAAAAAATCGATCTCGTATCAAAGCATTACGGAGCGCGTTGGCTAATCAATTGAATCGCAGATGTTATCAACTCTTTATTACTATCGGAATCTTCACCGCTGATTGTATCAACTATGGAACCGAAACATTTAGCAGCACAGCATCCTACAGAATTCCTATGGGCGTTGGATTTATCTGGGCAATTATTCTTGGTGTTGGAATCCTCTTCCTTCCAGAGACTCCCAGATACGATTTCAATCATAACAATGGCACAAGGGCTCGAACCACCATGGCTGGCTTCTATGGCGTCGACGAAAGTCACCCAATGATTGAGACCGAGGTAGCCGAAATCGAGAAGGTTCGCATGGCATCCAGCGGTAACCACCCATGGTGGGAAGCCATAACCGGCCCAAGAATGCTTTACAGAGTTTCTCTCGCAATGGGATTACAAATGTTGCAACAACTTACCGGTGCCAACTACTTTTTCTATTATGGTACCACTATCTTTGCTGGCGTTGGTATCAAAAACTCCTACGTCACTGCTATGATTCTCGGTGGTGTCAACGTTGGAGCTACTTTCTTCGGTGTCTATATGGCTCGTCACTTCCGTCGTCGCGAATCCTTATATATCGCTGCTCTATGGCAAACTATGTGTTTCCTCATCTTTGCATCTGTCGGACAATTTTTGTTCAAGGACGCTCCAGAAGGAAGTTCTACAGCTAAAACTGCTGGAAGTGTCATGATTGTCTTTGCTTGTCTCTTCATCGTTGGTTTTGCCAGTACGTGGGGACCTCTTGTTTGGGCATGTATTGGTGAAATGTTTCCATACCGATATAGAGCTGTCGCAATGGCTTTCGCTACTTCGGCGAACTGGTTCTGGAACTTTATGCTTGCATTCTTCACCCCATTCATCACAAACGATATTCAATATGCATATGGATACGTCTTCGCTGGATGTAATCTTGCAGCTTTCTTTGTCGTTTTCTTCTTCCTAGTTGAATCAAGCGGAAGAACTTTAGAAGAAGTTGATGCCATGTATTTGTTGGAAGTTAAGCCTATTGGAAGTCATGCATACGTCTTTGATGCTGCTACGATGGCAACTTTGGGTACGGATATTAATACCGATGCCATGAATTTGGAGACAAGAAATGGTAAGCTTCAAAAAGTTAATGAAGCTGGCCAAGGTGGAGTCTTGCATGATGAGGGACTTCCAGTGGGAAACCAGTCTCCCAAATATTAAATTCGGGTGATGGAGGGGAACCTCGAAAATATGAGCATTTTACTGTTGGGTAGTGTTCGGATGAGAATGATATTCTTATTTTGTATATTATCCCCTTTATATGGGTTGATGGTTAATGTTTTTTGCAATGCATAGCGTGGGTTGGATTGGGTAGAGTTTTTACATTTGTATATATATATATATACCATCACGTCGTTAATTGATTAATGAATAAAGACATCTTACGTTCAACAATTACTCCAAAGACTTTTCCTCACATTTCACAAAACCTAGCCTATCTATGATTGCCGCGCGTCCGAAGTAATTTTGGACCCGAGTTTGAGAGAAAGGGGACTCGGAAGTGTAAGTTTAATTTGGGATAGCATTGATTTCTCCCATTAAGGTCGGCTTTCTTTCCCCCTCATTACAATTTACCACGCATCACCTCGCACCTCATGACTTACATTACCACTCGACGTCTCGGTACATTCGGGCAACATTTATGGCAACAATTCTTTGCCAGGCATCGAACAGGAATTTTTATGCTTTGATTGACGACCCCATCTCCATCTATTCTTGCCCCCCACCATTTTCCCTCGAGCGTACAGAAAATCTACGACGAAAATATAAATCTGGGAGCTGACAAAAAGGAGATACAAACACTCGACAAGCAGTTAATACATATACCCAAGGAAAACATGTAACCAAAGAAGCAACAATTCAATTCAGCAATTTTGAAATGATTTCATTCGACATTCACCTTAATTTCTGCCCCTTTTAATAAGCGCCAGCCCACACCTGGTTCTAAATTACCTTTCACCAATATGGTGCAACGATTTTATGTCTCTTTTTACAACCTCTGGTCAAATTCGTGCCATTCAACAATGTGTGTGGACTTTCCGAGATCGACTCAAAAGTTCGTAGGAGGAACATGAATATTACAAGAATTTTTTTTCTAATATGTGCGAAAGCGGGAAATTCTCCTTCATACACCCATATAATTCAATCTCATTAATCAATAAGAATGGCGCAAGTGAAGAGCGCCTTCAAGAGTGAGCACCTTGGCGCACCTTAAGTCTCATATTAAACTTCCCTCCAAAAGAAGGATCTCCCTGTTGTCGCGTTTGGGAAGATCTGTTGTTTTACCAATTTTGCCTTGAGAGATTTATTACTTCCGAGTGTCTCGGACCTCGAAGAAATTTGGACAGAGCGGGATTTAGAGGGATTTGGAGGGATTTGTTGTTGACATGAGACTTTAGGTAAAAAGGGAGAGAGAGAAAGCGAGCATTCCTAGTTTTTTGTATTTCCTGCTGTGCTTATAATACAAGATCTTTCCTCGATATCTATGCCCATAATTAAAATTCTTGGCCACCCGGTCTTCGTGCTTGTTCCAAGTAAGCCTTGTCTTGATAGATAGATAGAAACTTTGGTATATCATGACTTCATGAATGAGAGAATGCTTCATCAAGATTTACCACGAAGGGAAAAAAGGAGGTTCCAATTATACACAAAGTATCATACCCTAGGATCGATAGCATTGAGATGTTGGGCTTTGATTGTGTTAAGTTTTGAAGATTTCCAAAAGTAATTCCTTGAAAAGATCGTCGACATCGTGCGTCAAGAGAAATTACCATCAGTACCAAAATTCTATTCGTATTTGTTGATCTTAATTTTCAGGAGTAACAAACTAAGAATCATCGTCTTCTTGATCAACCATGACTCTGAGTATGGAAATATTTTGAGCATACCCAAATGACAAAAGAGTGGTAAAAATCAATGTTAATCAAAGGATAAAGGGGGGAGGAGGGAGGGAGAGGATAAATAGAAAGCACCCCATCCTGATAAAATTGCTTATTCGGGACCGTCGGGCTCTAAGGTCTCAACCTCGGACCCGGGATGAGGCAAAGTACCGTGGAAGAGAAGAATAATTGATTCTCTTCTATGATCTTATCAATCAACGGAAATCATACAATCTATTCCAATCCTTTTAGTCACATTTGTTGAACAACTTCTTGGACCTTGGCCACTACCAAGAAATTATTCCTTTGCCAACAACCAAGTTGCCACGAGCGTGCCGAGTTTGCCTTTTTTCCTGTCCCCCCGCAGCATAACACAATATAGGTAACACGGCAGTGACAATGGGTTTGCCGTAGAACCGAACCTTCTTCTTATCTCCATTCAACGTTTGGACTCTCGAGCGCAGCGAGGTCTGGGGGTTTGGGGGCTTGCCCCCATCTGAGAAAAAGATTAAAGTATAATTATATTTGTTATAAGAATACTGGTAACATAAAAAGCAAACCTTTTTGGTTGGCTAGTTCGTTCGTTCGTGCGTACGTGTAAGGCAACCGAAATCAGTAAGAATCATATCATAAGCCATCAAAATATCGAGTATTCAACACGTAACAGCCAACGAACCAAGCACATTCAAGCCACTCTCTTGCAGCTGAAGTTTTTCGTTTCTCCGTACGAAGTACTCCATATCCCTTGTGGGCTTGTCTTCTCTTTCTTGATTCAACCAATCCTATTCGCAAAATCAAATTGATCTGTCACTAGCCACTCTGAAACCCAGATGTAAATGCATCCTTATGCTATCATTGCCACTCTTATCCCGGAGTAGACGATTATGGGTTTGCCGTGCTCCCGAAATCTCCATACAGCCGTAGCGATATGGGGCAAGATGTTCGAAGCATAAAATAGATTAGAACAAGCATGGAAGCATGGAAGCATGGTATGGTAATGAGATTGGGTTTCACTGAAATCTACTTCGGTATGAAAATCAATTTATCGAGGGAGGAGATTTACCCTAATCTGATCTTCAATAGCCTGGAAGGTAATTAACAATATTTAAAATTGAATCATTCATGAAATAGAATCTTGTCCCCGTGAAATGCTTCCCTTTTTATATTCTATATGATTGGATTTGAAGCGAACAAATCTTGAAGGAAGCGCGTACCTCCTACATGCCCAGTATCTATCAGCTACCGAAGTAACACATCCTACGAGTCTACGTATAAGATGTACAGTTAACATGTAAGGTAGTCAATGCACCCTAGCCCTAAAGTTGCATACGATGTGGTACCATCGAAAACCCCTCCCCAATGAACCTCAACCGTCAATCCTCGTGATGACAACTTTTACGTCATGAAGACCTTTCCCATCAGCCCAACCATTCAAACCTTCGAAAATCTACCTGGGTCGTGAGTCTTCTCAGAAAAGGCTTAGAAGTTAGAACACACTTAGAACCAATAACCTTGTTAAGTCCCTGCCCTTTCTCGAGCCCTTAAAAAGCTTACTTTGTATGCCCAGGTATTCAACATCTTGGAACATGACCCCCTGTTTAAATATTTCTCCATTTTTTAATGCACTTCTGAATCACTGCGCCCATCAAGACAACTCTCAGAGACATTCATAATAGTACCTGGTAGGTACTCATAGATTCATTCATACTTGTTACTGTATGGAAACGGAAAGTAGAACTAAATTGAGCTTATTTGTAAGTGGATGATTTAATATCTGTAATTGTTATTTCGTTTGTGTTTGGGGGTTCGGTTTGAATTCCCTTTCATACAATCAATCAATCAATCAGTCAATCAAGCCAACAGTCAAGAGAATCCATCTGTGAGCCAGAGCCAATAACTGAAAACTCTCGAGTATTCCAGAATACGGTGTGGTAGAACAGGATTCATAGTTGAGCCATTGCATATTTAGGTTTCTGCATACTGCAAGCCTACACCAAACAGGAAGGAATAGAGTCAGCAACTCGTTGAACCTCACGAAAACCATTTTACATATTACTTCTCTCAATTGTCTCACTCACATTGAAGATCCTTTTATTACCTCGACCATACCTATCTATCTCTTTACTACACTTCCACTCTTGTTCTCCTCAAAAGAGAATACAAATCAATCAAAATGACGGGTTCATTCTGGCACAATGTCCTAACATTTCGAAGACCATCCTCATCAACTTCCTCAACTTCCACAACATCCGACTCAATAGATTCCTCCTCTAGTAGCACCCTAAATTTAAGTGTTCGATCCAGTCATAGACTATCCCGAAAGCGACGAGAAGCATTTGGTGATTTCGATTATACCTTCGATAATGAGAGTATGAATGCGAATATGCAAGAACCTTTAGGGATGGAGAGAAATTCTCTGGGTAAGGATACAGGATTTCCGGAGCCTTTGAGTCATGGTATGTTATTGTTCCTTTTTTCCTTCTCGATCTTATGTAGAGGGGTCATGTATGCCGAGAATCAAGGAAACAAGCTGACAATAAAATAGATCGTAATACAACACTCCCACACCCCGAAGCAGATACTTCACCCTTTGCAACCCTCGAATCCACAGAAGTTGACATTTATCGTTCCCATTCACGACTCTCCATTAGGAGACTTCATAGCAGACATAAAGGATCACATCTAAGCGTACCTTTATACGAGAGCAACGAATATACAAACGGTAATCATGTCCATGGTGATATGAAGACGATAGAAAAGGATGTCGAGAAACAAAACGATCTGGTCGACCCACCCAAAACAGTAGAAGAATTTGTGGAAATGGAGGATCGAGATGATCAAGGGTATAGACCGGGAGACAGAAGGAAGGGCGTACTCAGAAAGTTGAACTTACACAAAGTTTAGAGGAGTTTGGTAAAAAGGAATCAGGAGTTGAGAATTTGGAAGGAGAAATTTTGAAGGACGCAGAACGCAACACAAAACTGGATGGGATGGGATTTGATCAGGCAAGCGAGGAGTTAAATGGATTTGGAGTTCGGATATTTGAAAGGTTGATATTGGTATCTCTTTGTAATTATTTCTTTCCCTCAACAGAATCATGAAATAACTTCATTCATGGAAATAAAGAGCATAAGACCCCAAACTAGCTTCCCCGATAAGTTGTATAACTGTATGGTCCCAAAAGTAGCGGAACGTGGAAATGTTCTCCTTCCTTAACTACGAAGTTGAGTTCAACGCAAGGGAAGAAAGTGTTTTCGTAACCATAATATGCGCCGGTCTCGAATCGAAGTTTCCACATGCTAGAACCCATTGGCAGATTCTGATTCTTTATTTTCCCCCCTTCAACAATCAACTCGCCGACTTTCTTGGATGTGACATTCTCTTGTTCGTTACTCCAATTAGCGATTCGACCGTCGGCATTTGTTATCGCACGAAAGATGGTAGACTCTTCGGAAAGGCAGATCAAAGAGACATTGATTCCCCAAGCAGGTCGACCAGTAGTAGTGTCGAGAGCATGACATGTAATTGGATCCCTTTCTGCCATTTTTGTTATGTGCAAAGTAGATGTTGATTGAGGGGTAATTTGTGAGGATATGGCTTGTAGACGTTCGTTGAAATGTTCAGAGGTGGGGTTGCGGGGCATCGACTGTAAATGGTGTGAATGAGTGAGAACGGTAGATGGAGGGTGACACGAATCTCTACTTGAGTTTGAAGGATCTTAAATAAGGGAAATGTGTGGAGTATTGTTGAAGAATGAAGCAATAACAATTCAACGATAATTATTTTGTATTGATAAAATTGATTGTAGAGAAAGAAACGCCTACCCAGTAGTGAAGAAAGCTTGCCTCGCAAATCGGAGATGGCCGCTTCAGCCTTGTGTTGACGCTTGATGGGGAGGGAGGGGGAAGGGGGTAGAGACTAGTTATGAGCCTTGTACTTCAATTGTACTTTGGACTTTGGGAGACTTCGTCAGAAACATCACATGAATTGAGGGGAATGCGATGACATTGTTTGATCATTTGAAACTCGAGTACATTTGAATATGAACGCACCTTGGAAAGGTGTTGACCCAATGATAACCCTGGTACAGAGCTTCCTAGGCTAGCGAATCACATCACTTAGCGCACTGTACATTTGACAACTTGCAAGAAGAAGGCGTCAGAAGGCAAAAGACAATTCTAGAATTCAGCAAGAACTTTGACTTTACAAGGAACTTGGGAAACGACACTGACCATCATTCAAACTTGACCTCGATTACTCAAAATCACCTTTCTCTCCTGTTCCCTTTAGTCCTTTGCCATTTTTGATTTAATCTTACCTTATCACCAAATAAATTAAGGGTCTTTACCCCGGTTCATCCAATTCCCCCTCTGCCACAATCCCGCCATAATCAAGATGTCTACCGCAGTAATCAACACTGACGACGATCAACTCGAGCCTACTCTCCAATCAATCCTTGATCAAAAGTCTCTACGCTGGATCTTTGTTGGTGGAAAAGGAGGAGTAGGAAAAACTACAACATCATGTTCCCTAGCCATTCAACTCGCCAAAGTCCGTCGTTCGGTTCTCCTCATTTCAACAGATCCAGCACATAATTTGAGTGATGCCTTTTCGCAAAAGTTTGGAAAGGAAGCTAGGCTTATTAATGGATTTGAGAATTTGAGTGCGATGGAAATTGATCCAAATGGTAGTATCCAAGAACTCATGGGACAGGCTGAGGAGGGCGAGGGACCAGCTGCGGGCATGGGTGGAATGATGCAAGATTTGGCTTTTGCTGTTGGTTTTCCTTGCCCCTACAAAATTATTACTTGGAGTGTTCATTTACTAATTCTTTTGATAGATTCCCGGTATTGATGAAGCTATGTCGTTCGCAGAAGTCCTCAAACAAGTTAAATCTCTCTCCTACGAAACCATCATTTTCGACACCGCTCCAACAGGTCATACCCTCCGCTTCCTTCAATTCCCTACTGTTCTCGAAAAAGCCCTTGCGAAAGTCTCCCAATTATCCACACAATTTGGACCTATGTTGAATGGTTTGCTTGGAGCCAATGGTTCTCTACCAAATGGACAAAACCTCAGCGAAATGATGGAGAAATTAGAGGGTCTCCGCGAAACAATTTCTGAAGTAAATGGACAATTCAAAGATGAAAATCTTACTACCTTTGTTTGTGTCTGCATTCCCGAATTCCTCTCTCTTTACGAAACGGAGCGTATGATTCAAGAACTGGGCTCCTATCACATCGACACACATTGTATAGTGGTCAATCAATTACTGTTCCCTAAGAAGGGAAGTGATTGTGATCAATGTAATGCAAGAAGGAAGATGCAGAAGAAGTATTTGGAACAAATTGAGGAGTTGTATGATGAGTTTAATGTGGTCAAGATGCCATTATTAGTTGAGGAAGTCAGAGGAAAAGAAAGATTGGAGAAGTTTAGTGAGATGCTCATTACTCCATATGTTCCACCTGCTGGAGGATTGTAGATTTTCTAGAGAAAGATATATAAAGAATTGAGACTTGATACCCATATTTCATGCCAACTTGTCCGTCACTTTTCCAGCCAGTTACACACATTTGCCAGACATACCTCCACTTGCTTTCATTCATGTACCCAGTGGGAAACCAACCACATTAATGATTTGTCGCTTGCTAGTTATCTTGACCACACTTTTATGAAGATCACTCCTGATGTCTGTTTAATATGTCCTCAATTTATCTTCCAACTAGCCTCCGGATCATCGCATCTCGCATCGTCAAGATTCATCGACTTAATTCTTTCCGCTTTGTAACCTCTGTTTCTCCAATGCTACAGTGTACTCCTAAAAGGAAACTCACAACTCCGAGGACCGGAAGACAGCTAGCACTTTTGGATCTCATCACAAGCCAGTCCTTTCCATTAAAAGACCACCCCTCATTCCCTCAACGCCGATTTGCCAAATGATCTTTATTCCGACCCATCAGAACTTTATACCTCCGTCGACCCTTCATGTCCATACCACGGTTTAGAAGCCGAGGGCATTATAAGATCAAACCTTACGGTTATTTATTCCTCTATTCATTAGCGTATCCATCACTCACTGGTCGCTGGATAGATTCCAAGAAGTTCGACCGGTTTTAATTCAAACACCCTCTTGAGTCTCTCCTTATCCTTATAACACAACTTCCCATTTGCCCATAATTCTCCTCCAAAAGTGTCACTAAAATCCTCCATCACTTCTTCCATTTCCTTCACACCAGCCCCATGAGGTGATTTCTTCAACCACTCGTTTTGGTCCCAATACACCCAGTCATCCCAAGCTGTATTTACACAGACCGCCCTTTTTATCCCGTCCCCTAGATATATATCATTGCCCGGTGTCCCCGCTTTACGAAGAAGCTTCATCCATCGAGAATATAACCCCCAACGTTTATCCGCATTTGGATTCATACCAGCGAAAAATTCCTCACTTTTCCACCGCATGTCCATAGCTTCTGAGACCCTTTGCATCCATTTGACATCCATCTTAATTTCCTCGGTTCTCATAGGGTTGATTTGAACTTTCTTTAAACCACTCCACTTCCCCCCCTCGGTTCTTTCATCACGAAGACCATAGTTCCCTCCAATACTCAAAAATAACATTTCAGCCCATTTCAAGTCATCGGAGTCAGTCAAGTCAAGATTTACTTGTAGTGACTGAATATGTATAAAAGTATCGTCGCCCAAATCTCCCATGCGAAAAAGTAAATCCGCGGGCCAGATTCCAAGGCTATTGACCTTCCATAGGGAGACGATGGCTTCATTGTATAATTGCGAACAAGTACTTAAGAGACCGAGAGCGGGAAGTGAAGAGTTAGAAAGACAAATGTCGTTTTGAGGATCATAAGGGAGTATTTTATAGGTATTGTTTAAAGTACAACGGTAAGTGACACAATTGAATGGAGTTTGAAAGGCATATTCGTATATTTCGTCTCGAATTTCTCGTGGGATATCTATCAAGATGTTGAGATGTGTTTTGAGACGCATTTTGAGCCTAGGACTTGGAAACTAGAAACTGGCAACTGGAGAACTGGGAATTGCGGAGAAGATAGAGGAGATTGCGGGGGGTCGGAGATCAAGGCTGAGGAGCTACGAGCTTCAAAGTTTAGATGAAAGTGGTGTTGTACTGTCACATATAGTGTGAGATCTGCACGTTGGATAAAGAAAAAAGTCATGCGCTACACATAGACGTTGCAGGTGAAGAAAACGGTATTGTCAGTGTCACAGCCTCTTTGTACATCACTAATTGCGCGGCTTAAAAAGTTGTGACCAGCACCGGTAACCTTAACCCACATTTCGGATAACCTCCGATGATTTTCACAAGGGTCGAGTAAGTGAGTGAACGAGTGAATAAATTGATCATCATCATTTGAGACCCCAGTATTTCGATCGTCGGATGATACACAACATTTAGTTCCAGTAATTGAATAAAACTCCGAGTTTTGAGAGTTACGGAGTAGTCTGATAGCCCAAGTCCAGGCTAGCTTTGAGTATTCTAGAAACTATGAACCTATAAATAATTCCTAATGGATTCAGATTTACCCCCCTTCAAAGAATATAAATCATGCAAACGTCTTCAACCCGGTTGAACAATTTCCTACCTATGCCTGGGAATAATTTTGAGTTCTCCATCTCTTGAATCAAGCTTCAAACCCTTCACAATTTGTTTTCCATCTTTAAAACATAAGACCCCATCAACATATAATTGCCCGCCAAATTTGTCATGAATCCTGTCTAAAAGCTTGCTTGTATCAGTCGTGTCAATTAGCATTTCTGCCAACCATTTCCTCTTGGCCCAAGGAGACAGTCGAGGCCAGCTAGTGTTTACCATCCAAGTCCGATATCCTTTGTCTGTCGAAGCATTTCCAGGATACTCTTGATATAACCTTCCATCGACTATTTCACCATTTTCCCTTAGCTCGAGAATATCCTCAAATTCCTCGACTGTTTGTGGTCGTTCTTTGCTCGCTTTGATTGTAATACCATGCAATTTTTGTCGAGATCCTGCCACTGCTGCTAGACCACGCTCAACCCATTCTAATTCGTCCCAATCCAACACCTCCAATTGTATGAATATATGCCATCGCGTTGCTTCGCCAAGCATTGAAATCCTCTTTTCGAGCTTGGATTTCAAGACAGGAAGCTCCCGCAGTTTCAGTCCTTTATGCTCCCAAATTATTTCCTTGCATTCTCTGTGTACTTGTTTACATGTTCGAAGTATGGAAAAGGACTGCGCAACTTCCATAGACCATGGCGAAAGAGTAATGATACCTTTCGGATCTGCGAGGATAAAGGTGTAAATTAAGTCGCGGATCTCTCGTGGGAAAGTTTGGAGGAAAGGGAGAGTCATGTCGTTATATGCCAAGAGCTGCTTGTATGCTGTCAGTATACGACAGAGGTTTAATTGCAGTATGTTTTGTCTGATGGAGGATATTCTGCACCTTCAATAGTTGCCTCTAAAATATTCTCAAATAACGCGCCTTGCTCGGACCTAACAATGTTTCTTCAAACTTTCCAGAAGTAGACTTCAAACGAAGTCGCGGGGCTTCTCGAAGTCGAAACTGCAATTAAACTTGCACTTTTCTTCAATTGAAGACGGCAATTTTGACTGCTGCCTTTTTTTCTCGAGAAATTCTGGTTACCTAGTATAGTAGCCTCAGAATACTTTTAAGGCCAAAAAGTATGCTTTGATGATACCTAGGTTGTTCTTCTTGTTGATAATCGACACGACCTCTCAATAGCTTAGCTGGGTACCTCACTACCACTGAAATGAATTGTTGCTGCTGGTGTATACCATCTTGCCGGCTGGCTATCATAAAGGATTCTACCTTTGGTGCTTGTGGATTTGTAGTGGTGTGTGTATTTGACAAAAATCGGCCTTGTGCGAAAAAATGAGGTCTCGATTAAATTGTGGCAGTAAGCACCATGTTATTAATATCACTGGATATACGAAAGGTCGGGTGGTAGTTGATTGGTTCATATGTATTCCATTTCCATACCGGCCGGTACACTCATGAAAATCACTTAACGCGTTAAAACACGCTTTGACCATTGTACGCGTCGTGAATTCATTCATAACTTTCGTTCCTCCATCAACCAACTTGTTCAAATTTTGTACGAAGTAATTAACACTTGGGCACCTTCAATTTTGCTATCTTACTTTGACCGCATTCACAAACTTTGCTTGTATAATTCTTGCCTTGTATATTTTTGGTAATTCTTGCTTTCTATCACAATTGCCATCATGCCTTCTGCGGTCAAGAAAAGGAAGGTCGCGGCGCCTGCTTCGAGAAGTGCAGCAACCACCAAGATTCAACCATTGAGTTCCTTTACTACGATTTCCAAAGCAGTTACAAAGGGTGGAGCGAAGTCAATCATTGAAAAGAATAAACAAGCGGATGTGGCATCAGTGACAGTGACCAAGTTGGATAAACCTTCGACGAATTTAAGAAAGAGAAAGTTGGATGCAGAGGAGGAATCGAATGTTATTGAGATAGCAACGACTACGACTACGACTACTACGACTGCCACGATTGCGACTGCCACGACTGCCAAAGAAATTGAGACACTTCCATCAAAACCGGTCCTCCCGTCGAAAGTTCCACAAACACCGCACAAACTTATCAAAACGTCCTCGATCACTACCGATACCCCAACAAAAGGCGCGCGCACTCTGCTCGATCGTCTCCTTCTACAAACCCCTAAAAGACCTGTCCAAAAAAGACCTTCTCTTTCGTCACTACGATCTATTTCTTCGAATTCTGGCACGGAGGTTTCGACACTTCCTCCTAAACATCCACAAACTGGCGCTGAAGGAAAGGAGGAGGAAGCAAGTCAACAAGAGGATTTTAAGGAACTATTGCCTACTGAACTCATCGATATTATCAATCTTCACGCAGCACTTCTCACAACACTTACCCTTCACTGCGCTCACAATGGATCCAATGCACCCGCAGATTTACGGAATCTCTGTCCGGATGTTGCCAGAGCATGGGGAAAACGGAAGGTCATGCTAGATGATGTCCGCCGGGCTCTTGGTGTCCTGAACTCTTATGTCAAAGTTGACGCAGAAGATCAAAAGCTTTCTACAATCACTCTATCAGATTATGGATCCGGGAAGATATGTGTCGAGATTGAAGCTGAGAATGGGGGCGGAAAGGGTAATAACTTGAGGCCGATTGACGAAGAAAGACTCAATGGAATATTCTCGCAAAGATTAATAAGTCAGTGGGAATTGAAAGAGGAGAGCGTTACTATTGAGGACTTCATCAAGCAATTACCATCGGAGCCAATCACACCTTGTTCTTCGCTCTCAAAAATGACGCCCCTCCTCGCCAAGGGTCAACGACGGCTGGAAGACATGAAAGCCGGCATTGTTGCTAAAAGAGATCTCAGGAGAACAAAATCTTCCCCCGCTCTTATTCAAGCTGCGACTTCTACAGATACTTCCTCCCCTCCCTCCACCGAAAAGAAACCTACACTTCTCGAGCGTCTCCGCGCAAAACAACTTAAACAATCTCTCCTTCCTCGAGCGCCTTCTCCTGCGCAAGTAGCTCGCAAATCAGCTTTATCAAGAATGGAGGAAGTTGTCAAGGTCCTCAGTATTTTGAGTACGTCGGGATCAGCTGGTCAACAAAGAATCTCTTTCACCATGCCGACTTTAATTGGTAAATTGAAGGATTCATTCAAGACTCCAATATCGAAAGACGAAGTAATTGCCGTTGTGAAACTTTTAGCGGTCGAGATTGCACCGGAATGGGTTCAATTGGCTAAGATTGGGAAGATGGAAGCCGTGGTATTTGATAGAGAGAAGAGGATTTTGGAGGAGAGTGTTAAGGATAGGGTTAAGAAAGCCCAAGCTGCTTGAACCTCAAATTGAGTTGGGTATCGAGAATGAGTTTTGGAAAACGACTCTTTCAAGATTTTGTATATTGTATTTATTGGTTGAAAGAGATACCCTTGTTTTGTATGTATTAGGAGCACGATGTACTATGGTTCGTTGGTTTAATTCGGCTCGTTGAAGGATACGGGTCACAGAATACAGGATACAGGACTGAGGAGCAATGGACGGGAAGGAAGGAGGAAGAATAGAATTGTACAAACAGAAACCCCAAATGGAATGAATAATTACTGAACGACCTCTTATTTACTGACCCATGTGATATCATCAGCGACAGCGGGTGCCCGTCACCAGTCTTACGTGCCAAATGTTGTCTTTTGAGCCAATTATATGCATCGCTTCGGCACCATCTTCTGGGGGCATGTTCATCCCGTACTGAGGCTGCTACAGCGCATCCAAAACAGAGATCTTGTTCAAGTGTCGGCCAAGATCGAACAGGAAAAATCAGGTGAAGAAAATTTAATCAGTAGGAAGAACGGACTTTGCCAGGAAACAGTCAAGACATTGTGAATCAATTGGAGAAAAAGGGTTGAATTGAGTAAATGATTTATCTACTCTGATAGACCATAATCGCCAGGTATAATAACATTGAAATCCAACGCGATGAAAACCTCTTGATATCTAATGCTTTCATTTATTCTTTCATGCATCTCATCTATTCATAAACTCCATAGCTTGAAGCAGCTACCATTCACCATCCACCGTCCACCAATAATCATTTGATAAGACTCGCCCACTTATATCATCATCACACTATCCGCATTTACTCATCATCGTCCGCTCCACCTGGGGTACCAGTCTTAGGAGTACCAGTCTTGGGTGTTCCAGAAACAGGAGTTCCACTCTTCGCACTCGGTGGCCCAGCGGTAGGAGGAACAATCTTAATTGTAGTCTTGACAGGTGCTGCCTTTGCTGCAGGAGCAGGTGTAGCATTCTTCTTTGGTCCACCAAACTTCGAACCTCCAATATCATTTCCACGTAACTTAATACCCAAAACACGTTCCATATTGTTCAAAACTTTTTGATCAGGAGTGGCGACGCCCCTTTCCATGTCGTTAACAATCTTTGGGGTAGTGTTGCATAGTTTGGCGAGGTCGGCTTGGGTTTTGATGTTTTTGGCCTTGCGACCATCTTGAATGGCTCGGGCTACTTCCATACCAACGGTCTTTGGCTTTATGATTTCATCAGAGCGGTCGACTTTTGTGAGATGTTGACCTTCTCCCGAAGAACCCTGTTATTTGAATAGATTAGTTAATGGCACATGGCGGTCGAATGTAAGGCTTGCGGAAATAAGGTCGCGGGGTCGCGGGGTAAATGTTAATGATTGAATGGACTCGACTTACAGCATTACCGGAAGCAAATTTCTTTTCGGTAGTAATAGCTCCTCCACTTCTCTTAGCAGCATTCAATGCAGCAGCTCCTCTAATGACAGTCTCTCTGTTTGCGCCAGCTCCTCCACGAACATTCTTTCCAATCTTTGTGGTTGACTCCCAGTCATCCATTTTGATTGATTTTTATGTGGGTATTTGATTAAAAAGTGTTGCCTGAAGAGATAGAATGTTGAATTGAAAGGAAAGGGATTCCGAAATTTATCGAGGGTATTTGACGCTGATGTTGTTGTATGTTGTAAAAAGCTGAAGAAGGATTGATGACTTCTATTTGTGGCAATTGAATAGCGCTTCCTCTCGCCGAATGAATCAGATACAAAAAGAATTTCTTATGTAAGCAGGGTTAAGTTATGTCGTCAAGCGGTGAGTACCGTAGAAGGGAAACTTTACTGCATTAAGATGAAATGGTATGGCAATATATCCTTGTATGACTCTAGACTTTTGATTTCTAAGTGAAGTACACCAATACGTACTTACCCATTGACCATATGCATCGTGTATTTTACATGTTCAGACAACTCTAAAACATCATTGCTATTCTATCATACGAGAACCTTGAAGTCTATATAGGCTGTCTTGTATTTACCTTTACCTTCTGTCTCCTTACGATTCCTAATTCTTGATATTGAAAACGCTTGAAAAACAAAAATGCATTATCAAAGAACTCAACATCGCCTCCCCTAGATTTCCAAACCGCGTCATGGGTGTTTCTTATTTTGCATTCACCTCAATCACACTCATTGGGCTATTCGGATCAGTGTCCGATATATCAACTATCTTCGCCTTTTCGATTATACGGAATAGACATTCATTTTTACAATCAATCCAGAAATATGTTGACTTATCAACCATTATTACCATTGCCACGAGCACGAGTGTCCTGTTTTCAATTCTTCAAATTATTCGATATGTCCGAGGGCTTCAGGTAGCATCTACCAATCTAGATGATCAATTTTTAAAACCTATGCTCTTTCCTACGAAGACAAGTCATTTGAGGTTGTTTCCAAAGAGACATGGCTTCTCATACTCCTATCTTTTAACTGGCATACCCATTGGTTGGATAGGATCTTCAGGAGGAATGATTTCAGTCGATGATAAGAATGATGGACTCCCATGGTATAGAAAATTATTATCCTTACAACCAATGAGTCCTTGGTATGTCGTGGATGGAGATTATTATTTGGAGAGGGGTCATGTCTCTGGTGGATTAGAAGGAAAATTGAAAAAATTTCTTCACGATCAGGTAATTTCGATTTTTTACATGTTCAGGATTCTGTTGACAAAATCTAGGGTTTAAATCATGAAGATTATCCATTTGCATATCTCTTGACGTCTTCTAAGTTTCTTGGTTATCAAAATAATCCAGTTTCAATATGGAACCTTTATTCAAGGAATAGAGAATTGAAAGCTGTTATCCTCGAAGTCAATAATACATTCGATGAACGTCACACTTATTTTGTTACACCAAAAGACGCGGAAGATTCCAAAATAGAGGAACCTAAAGGCAAACCACCAAGGTTCACAAATACTTGGTCCAAGGAATTTTATGTTTCTCCATTCAATTCTCGAAGTGGTTCTTATTCCGTCTCAGCTTCTGATCCATTTTTTCCATCGCTTTCTGGAAACAATCCTCTGGATCTCACATTAACTCTTAGTTCTACTGAACGTCCATTCTTAGTAGCAAGAGTCTTCTCTGATGGCCATGCATTCGACCCATCTACCATATCGGTACTCGAGAAGACTAAATTTCTACTATCATGGTGGTGGGTAGGATTCGCTACATTCCCTCGAACATTAGTCCAAGCCTCCATATTATTTTTCAAACGGTCCTTACCATGGGTTTCGCGTCCGGAACCAGTCAAAAAGACTATTTCCCGACATGCCGATAAAACTCAAAAGTCTATCGAGGCATTATTTCGACAATTCTTACAACATCTTATTGAGGTAACGGACCAGCCTTTGGTTTTAAAGTATAGACCTGCTGGGCTTCTTAATAATACACCAGAAATTATGTTTTCTCCATCAGCTCAAATGTCACCGGAATTAGCAAAATCCATGGAAATATCAGTACTTACACCGATTTTCTACACCCAATTCATCAAATATGTCGATATCGTCCAAGGTCTTGAAATGGAATCGAAAAATGAAACCATATCTATCTCTGACTTGAGTCTTTTATGGACACGGCCTTTGAAGTCAAAGGAGCAGCAAGCAGTACCAAAAAATTTCCATTCATCGGATGAAAATACTCTTACCTGTGTATTTTTCCGAGCAATTCGTTCCATTCGTACATGCTCCCATACCGATCCTATTGGAAATCTTTTTTCGTCATTTGACAAATACATTCTGGGGCACACCGATAATGTCACTTCCTTGTTATACCAGAGAATACTGCTCAAGATGTGGCTTTGTGATTGGATTGCTTTGGGATGGGAAGATTTATTGAATTTCCAATGGTGGCTAGTAAAGATTGGAGGCTTTTGGTGGTTAACAGAAAAGATGTGGTTTGTTTATTTGAATTCATACACTGGCTTGGGGCATTGAAAGCATGATGTTGGGAATAATGTATGGTAGATGCGGGAAATATCGAATGGTGATATTTAAATACTTGAGAGATCAACCCTTCAATTCGAATGTTCTCATCTGCAAATTAAATACACAATATATACCCGATCCCAATTACCAATCTCCAGTTCCTCTTTTGCTTTCAAATAACCTTAACATTCTCCATTGATATGTCCCCGTGGATCGCGCAATGTTAGACGTTAGGAACACCAAAATATTGACACTGGAACCTAGCTTGCCATCGTCTAGTGCGGGGTGCTGATGCGCATCCCCTTCTCCCAAGACTCTCTCCGCCCAAAAGAATACTTCTTTGACTTTTGTCTCTTTTCAAATTAATTGAAGATAGCATAGCCTCTGCTGGTAGTTTGGTACTGGCGGTTTCCATCGTATTTTCCCTCCTCTTTTGCTCTCAAGCAATTTGATCACTGACCCTCCGAATTTCTCCAATGATGGTTTTACACCAGTCCTCGAAAGTGCCAAGTGGATAAAAGTTCCTCTTTGCCCTAGAACATTTCTAAATGGCTTCTGGGATTCTTTATGAGGGTGTGCGAAAAGGTGCGGGAGGATGTGGGAGGATGTTCTGCGCAACAAGTTTCATTCACCCCGTCCGTCAATTCGCCATTTGTGTGGGTATTACTGCCTTGATAATTCGACGGTAATGTATTTACTCGTAGCAATAGCGAGTACTTTCTTCAAAACTTTGCATCTGTCTAGGATATCCACCGGCACCCAGCGACCCTTTGGCTTCGCGACCTACTCCCATCTGAAGCCGAAGCAATCAACTCTTTGGACGGGCTTGACCTCAACGCACCGCCGGTCGTGAAGCTACTCCGACGAACCAAACAGAATGTTCTCCGCAGATTGAATTGACCTTTTGTAAAGTTCCTTCGATGTCGCACGCTCAAGTCCCTGTTCTGTGGAAGTTATTTGAGCCTCTCCGAATCGCGCACTTAGAAGACACCATGGTCAAATCCAATCACCATGGAATGCTCGCAGCAGGTGTAGTTCTGCCGCCGGCAATATTTCTTCTGCCATTCTGATGATGGACTTCGAAAAGTTTCGCAAACTACCGCATTAATGTTGTCGTGAAATTGATCGGTCGACCGAGTCGCTCTGTGATCTAGTTGCGGGGCAGTCAGCTCAAATCCAATCACTCATTCCGTCATTTGGAACGTCGGGTTCTTATGAATTCACCTTGATCAATCCATCCCGCCTTTTGAAATCGTTCTTCGCGGTTATCCACATATGCAATTAAATACAGCATTAGTTATTAGTGGTGATTGAGTTCGCGCCGAAAGCCATTTTCTTGTGGAGGTAGAGCCTATCATGTCTATTAACGCCTAAGGTAATGGTGGGGTCGAGGCGCTAATAAGTCCGCAATTTAGCGTGTCAAACGGAGGTCAACCAAATCTTCCTCGCAAATAATTTTAAGACTTTTGATTGCACGATCAGGATATTGGCTCGATTTATTCGAGTATCTGTCTAAATATCATGAGTTACGGGATGGGAAATATCCTGGTATGATACATCTAGCCTTTCGCAAGCCATAAACACAATCTATTCACGGTGTCGACTTTCCATCTATTTCAGTATCCCCCATACCCTTGCGTTTGTTTTTATAGTTTATCGCATTGGGCAGTCGGAAAGAGAATATGAAACCGGGGAATTCACAGCCACTTGAGGAGTATTCTTAGTTTGAAATGGATTATTTGCTATTTCCTATTTGCAATCGTCTGAACTTTTGACTGGTCGTCAGTGCGATCATAAAGTTTCTCTAGAAACAAATCTGGGGCACATCATGTCTCGCATAAATTCATGCAAAGTAGTCGGATATGCTTTTCGACTCTTCAATATAGTCGTCGCCAGAAGAAGCTTTCTTGGCTAGGAGATCATAGGCTTTGCGTACATTCTACGAATTTACCCCTCGTTGGGATGCTTTGAAATCGCAGCTTCCATCGCTCCAAGTCAAACGTTAGATCAAAACATCAAGTGAAAACAAGACTTTACTATTGTCAGATTGAGAGTAGGTTGCGAACCGTTCTTCCCACCGTATTTTCAACATGTCTTTTCATTGCCCAAGTCCATACATATCCAGATATCGCCAACTTCTACCACAAATTTGTTGGAGAAGTTTATAGTCTTGGATCGAAACAGAATTGTGAAAGTTAATCGAACAAACCAGACCATCATAATCTCAACTCCATATCAAACGTTACCTAGCCTCAACTGAATATCTTCCGTCGCCTCAAACACATGTGAGTTTATGACGTCCGCATTAAAGTTTGTCTCATAAACCCTTTCCATATGGTTTCAATACATGGAATCTTTTGACATTGCGGGGTCACAATTTTTAATATATATTCTCATCATGTTCCCTTGTATTTCTTGCTCTGGTATCCCAAACAATCATTTCTCAATTCACTTAATTATACCAGCAGGCAGGTATTACATTTCGAGAAAGTTGACCTTTCTTTCAAAGCCTTACACTCATTTTCAATTCCTAAAGAATAAATTTTAAATCGCCAAGATGCGAAGTTCCATCCAGAGCATTTCCTTTCTCCTCCTTTTATTGGGTACCTTTATTCTCGCAAGTCCCATTCAAACCGAACCTGCAACAGTACCATCAGTACCAAAACGAACAACGCCAGTCAATAAGATGTATGGTCTTTCATCTCGTCAAAAGATGAATATGACCAACAGTGACACCAATCCTAAATCTTCGACAAGTTCTGCTGGTGCCAAATCAACTGGAACATCCACTGCATGTTCACCAGAAGTTCAAGCTCTTGCATCGGGAATCAATTCGAATATTGCAGACCAACGCAATGAACAAAAAGCTGTGACAGCTGTTGGGAATATTCTCCAACAATCACCTTTTAATACCTCCATGTTTGATGCAGCACAATCTTCTCTTATGACCTTCGTTCAGAAAGGAATCCAAATTCGACAAAACAATCAAAAGATAGCGCCAGCAGGAAATGGTGCCATACCTGGTTTGGCAATTGTAGCAATGGCACAACAGGAAGAATTGAATTTAACCATGAGTTTGACCGCAAGTAATGTGGTTGGTAGTAATGCGACAGTTGAAAAATTGAAGACAGATTTTGCAGGTGGAATCGTACAAAACATGAAGAATTTAGCGGCGGCAACTAAAGGTTGTAAAATGCCCAGTACTACTCCATAATTTGTGTTGGTGGGTTTGGTCAACTACCTAGGTAGTCAACACAGGAAAAATCATTCATGGGAGACGCTGGTCGATCTGTAATGTAGCAAATATAATATATATATGTATATGTATATTTCACCTCACACAAAAATTCCCAAAGTACAATTGTTGATCATTCATGCCGCCGGGTTGAATTCTCTCGTTCATGAGTCTCAAACCTCAAACTGCATCATAAGAATCGAACAATCATAATCAAAACGTTTCGCATCGCATGCATTTCCATAATCATATCAATATTCTATTCATTTTCGAACATCTATTTGTCAAAGCGTGCGAACAGCAATCAGCAACCCTTCATACATTCAATCACCCATTCATACAATGATTATCTTCCACTGTGTCAAATCCATTTTCAAAGACTTTCCTACTATATCTCAATACATCTTATGTCCACATCATGTCCAGTTCATATCCACCCCAGTGAATTTATCTATGATAAAGTTTATTCCTCGAATCTTGCACGTTCAGCAATGTATACTAAATAAATAATGGTCAGATAAGCGCACTTTATCCAATTTAATCCGACAACGAAAAGAATTGGGAATTCTCACACTACACAATTTAATTCCTCCTCCTTCAACTCCCATACCTGGTGCTACCGTATCAATTTCTCTATGCAAAGCTCTCAATCCCCTGAATTCCATACTCTCCCACCAATCCAAATAAACACTTGCAGTGATACCCTGCCACTCAAAGATATGCATTTCCACCAGTATTTGACCGATAGGAAATTCTGGTTTCAATGGATCTGGAGATGTAAGTGCACCAGCACCGCCAGGAAGTGTATGACCATTCAAGGAAGAGAGAGCATTGTATTCCGAATATTCGATATCCGTCTTCAAAATATCACTATTCCCACAAAAATCGAACCATTAGTTTATTTCTTTTTCAATTCTTGTCCCCGAAAAGATTTTTGGCAATGAGGACCAGGGGAATGTGCGGCTTCTAGAAAACTCACATGTAATCATGTCCATTCCTTTTCATCATATCTTGAATTGTAACAAGTCGGTTTGCATCATCTGTAGCACTATTTGCTCCATTTCTTTCAAAATGTGCTCTTGCTCTCATTTCTTCCGTAACTTCTTCACCAAAATTAAATCCCGGCACATGTTGATCGTAACCCCAAATTTCACATTTCGTTCGACTAAGTATTTCGGCTTCGAACGATGAATCATTCCCAATACCTATTTTGATTTGAAGTTAGCCATGAATTTTCAACGTTCATGAATCAATTACTTACCAAAACTATAGACCACGCAAGGTTCTTTCTTCTCAATAAATTTACTAATTCCACAAATCCACCAACCTCCTTCCCCAATTCTTCCAAGTCTTTCCATTTCCCATGGACAACCATAACTTGGAGTAACTAAATCCCAAATACTCCAAGGAGTTTCTTTGAAAGTAGTTTCATCCTTGGCAGGAAAAAACCCTCGATCAGGAAAATTATGTCTAATCTCTCTTCTTTTTGTTACTCCTCGTTGATATATAATTTCGGATTGTTGCATGAATGTATTGAGGTTCGGACGTGATATAGGTATGAAATGAAAAGTTCCCAATGTTGGTACGGAAAATGGTACTTTTGATCTAGCTTTTGATGGAACAGCGATAAATATGGCCAAAAGAATTAATGAAGTTAAAAATAATATCTGAACAACATTATTGGATCTCATGATGAGATTGAGTTATTCGTATTTTGTTGTTATGAATCACTTTGGCCAAAAATTTATTGAAGTTACGAAATCCAAATCAAGGGGAGTCAGGAGGAGTAGGAAAAGAATTTTGATCCTTTAGCTTCAGTATTCTTTTCAATTTTATGGCGTTCATGTGTACGTATATGTGGAAATAAAGGGCAGTTATTTATTTTCAGCCCATTAGATTGCAACCAATAGAATTATAAAAGTTCTGAAAAATGTTTTCTGCTTTCTTTTTATGACTCGTTAAAACTCCTTGCTTGATGGTGGAGAGACATCATTTTCGAAGGTCGGCAAATCTGGGAACCTTTGATAGGCGTTTTGGAAAGCATCCTAAGAATTTGGTCAGAGGAATAGAATCGGGAAACCTTTAATTCTTTTGATATTTCGATATTGTGATTTATTTCCGGGAATATTAGCCAGTTCTCATGAAGTGGGATAGCTCCGTATACCCTTCCAATCGAAATCTATGAATACTCCCAAGTAAGGCAAATCTAGTACTGCTACTGAATAAGTCACTTGATAATGTTCTCAATACTACATGGCGAGGGTCATAGAATTGCTCAGATGCTATTATGATAATACAGTCTTCGACTTTCAAAACTACAAAATTTCCAAAATTCCCAAATTTCTGTTTTCTATTGTATTAATAGATAATTCTGTTCAGAAGAAGCATAAAAGTGTTATAATATTCTACAAATTCTTATTTATTGATTTACTATTCAATAGATTACAAGTTTTTACTTTTTTTTTCCAGATCCTTTGACCACGATATATCTAGTTTCAATTGAATTATAAATCAGCTACTAATGTATTTTTTAGCTCTTAACTAAACCATACGGCTTCCCTCAATCAGGGCTACGTAACTATCTAATAAAAAGTAATAATAAATGGAAGTTGAGATTTTGTCGTTTTGAGAGTCAAAGACTGCAGAAGAATCTAAGCGAATATGCCCCCTACCCAGACTTCGAAGGCATCGGGAATCTTACATATTGTTCAGAATCATATAAAAGTCTGTGGGATCAATCAAGATCACTTGATTTATTGCTGAACGAAGTAAAAGCGACACGGAAACAAAAGTGTGGTTTCGAATGGATGATAATTTTGGTGGTGTATAGATTTCAAACATCCATCAGTCTTTGAGAACATCGCGAATCTGAATTACTTGTCGGAAATATAAGAGAATCTAGCATATTGATGCCTGATCTGGCTTCAATTGAACATTGGATTCGATTTAAAAGTCTCTTGGGTGAATGACATGTAGTTCAGATGATTTAACTCATGACTCACCCAAGATTGATGAGCTCCGAATGTATGTGTAGTCCGACAGTTCCACGACAGTTCCTACTGTTTGCGCAACCGCAAAATCGTTTACTTACCAAAAAGATATATCTCCGCAGTTTCGATTTACAAGAGTCACTTCAAGAAGTTTCAGAAGTTTACGACCTGTGGTTAAAGATTCCGTTCCTGTCAGGTAACTACCATATTTAACTCCATTGAAGCCTCTACCCCAAGAAATGTTTCTCTAATACTTTAGCACACTATCTAATACTTTATATTCATTAAGGAATTGATTTCAAGAAAATGCGGGCCTTACGTGCATCTCTGGAGGGTTTGGGTATTGGCGACATGAATACGCCAATCACTTTCTCCGATCAAATTTTGACTAAGCATTCTGAGAATCACACAGAATGTTTAATAAGCCATTGAAAGTCGATCGTCAAAGTTTTGTGAAAATCCCGCTACCTCATCATGAGTTACTTGGTACGATGTGTTACGTTTCTTGCTTCTCGCTGAGCACTGTCTAGGGATCTCCTTCCTCCCCCCAGTATTTGACTCCGGGTCTTGAGACTTGCGTAAAATTCTTTCTATCTTAATTCAACTATATGGTAAGATCTCGGTAAGTTGCGCTAGCTAATCATAAATTCCTTGCTAAGTGAGTTGACTATTCGCGTTGCTCGTACCCAGCATTGCTCCTACCTCCCGATGCTTGGATCGTTCTCTGTCATTTAATTTTGGATCCCGCATACTGAAACTTTCATAAAATGATTCTTAGCTGAATTGAATTCTATGATCAACATCCGACAGAGTTGCGCCGGCTGATTATGGATTCCTCATCAAGTGAGTTGACTGTCCCTCTCGCTTACCCCCTATGTCTGAATCTCTTTTCTCTCCCTAATACTTAATTCCGATTCTTGAAATTTGCATAAGATGCTTTTTAGCTTAATTTGATTATATGGCCAAGATCCTGCATATTCATGCTTGTTATTTTTAAAGTCCTCGCCATGTGAGTTGACTGAATCTCTTATCTATTCCCCGTTACTTGAATCGCTTTCCATTATTTAATTCTGACCCCGCACTTTGAAACCTGCGGAAACCTGCGGAAAACATTCTTTGCGATAGTTCAATCGTACAATCCAAATCTTGGAAAATTTCCGATACCTGATCGTTGACCCTTCTCGATAATAATTTCCGTAGATCAATTCTCAACTTCGCCGTTTAAATTATCGGTGTTCATTTTATTTGACTCGCATCTAATTATAGATCAATGTGTGTACTTTTCACTGCTTTTCACGATCACTGAGGGTTCAGAAATGTTTAGAACATTCGCGGTTGCACTATCTCTCGAAGGACATGATATTGCCAAAGCAACGTGAAGCACAATGGACCCGAGGAGTTTAAATGAATGCTGAGCTTCCTGATAGACGACCAAAAATATTTGCGACCGGCGGAGATGTATACCGGTCGGCGGAGAGTTGTGATAGTGCGCGTCCCATTTGCTACGTAAAATGCTATTAGTATCATTGATTATTACAATTTTACCACAAGAAAAAGCCGGAATTAATCGATAAATAGCATGATCTCGAATGATCTAGTTTCAATGTGCGGAATAGAACATGAAGCTGCGGACTGTTCGGTAGGTCTTTTGGGTAGAATAGTTAAATTGCGAGAAATTGAATGCTGTCAAAACGTTGAATCTTAAGTCGGCGATTGTCTAATGAATATGAATGGATATAAAAATCATCTATTAACTTGTTTGGTACTTGAATCAAAGTTTTCCGTCCATTATAGGGACGAAAAATTTATGATTTGACATCTCAGATTGAGGGCAAGATGATCATAACTTTCAAATTTTAAGCTCAATTTTGGATCAATTGGACTCAAAACTTTGCAGCGGTTACTTTGAATGATAAATAATAGATTGATGTAGTTTGGTAAGGTTCTGTTGATGTTTGATCTCGGCCCCTCGGTTTTAGGTATGTGGCGTTGTCCATGATCCCCAATGGAACTACCAGGTTACACCTTATTCCAACGATCAATTGTTGAATAAGCCAATAGGAAAGAAGCCATTTGCAGAATAGCTGCAAGCCGTCAGCATTAAACCCACTTCAATTAAGATGCCATGTTTATTTGGTGTCGGAATCCATAATCCAACCAATGAAGACGAACATCTCAACAAAACCAACAGTCCCCGCGTGAACATCCAATTAATATCTTACATATACCGAATGATTAAATAAAGTCTATATATCTGAAATATAGAGTCTCAAGACTTTAAGAAGAATAATACAATCCCTTAGAATTCTACCATTTCTGTCTCAAAATCTCGCAATCACGAAAATCACATCTCAATTCATTATGCCTCTCCCAAATAGACCACCTTCCCAAATTCTTCCTAACTTTCTGGATCTCAATCTCGAGGTATAATTCATTCGATATCAACTTCTGGATATTGGAAATGTTTTACGATTAATAACTATCACCAAATCTCATGTCCTCAATTTGGCCGAGCAACCTCTCAAAGTACCCTGTCTAAGCCTTGGTTGTCTTCCAGATGCTTGAATAAATACAGTTCGATTTTAACCAGCTGGATATGATGAAATTTATCCAGATTGGAAAAACCTCCGATTATGTGTTTATATGGAAAGTGGAAAGACACATGCTAGTGTTATGTGTTTCGTGAAGGAAACGAGATTATCGATCAATATTATACGAAACATTGAATGGTGCAGAGAAATTAGGTTTTCAATTTCTTATAGGATTTGAACTAGAATTTCATTTGACCAGAATCGACGGAGAGAAATCAATAAAGCAAGTGAGTCAATTTCATGGTGCTGCGGCATTTAGAGATAGAATCACATCTCGATTGATAGAGGATTGTATTCTATGTCTTTTAAATTTCGGGATTGAGGCAACTCATTTTCATAGTGAAGTTGGGAATGGAATGTTTGAAATTCCAACTGGTCCACTGAAGCCAATCGAAGCAATCAATACACTCGTTTAACCTATTGTAAAGAAGCTATTCAGACAATTTCTTTAAATCATGAATTTAAAGCGACATTCTTTCCAAAACCAGTGTTATCACCATCTCAAATAGCTGTTGGAGCTCATGTTCATTTCTCGATTGACAATTCAACACAAGAAGTTGCTGATTATTTTTTGGCCGGAATACTTGAAAGTCTTCCAGCTTTATGCACATTTAGTATGCCAAATTTTGACAGCTATCTTCGATTAGGAGGAAATATAGGTACTACTGGTACTTGGGTTGGTTGGGGAGAAGAAGATAAAGATGTTGCCGTGAGAAAAATATCTAGAAGAATAGGTAATTGGACGATGCTTTAAATCCAACTCTATATATAAATCTTTGCGCTGTAGCTCAACCCTCGAAAAGTAGTGCTGATATGCCGTTGACCGGTTAACATATTTATCATAGTTAATTTATAGAAGAAAGACAGGCATCTCTCTTACTAATACCATCTATTATAAAGCTTATATTGCCTTGCATTCCTTCGACTTTCCTATCAAATCATTGTTTCTGTTACAAAATTAAATCTGTTCTCGTATACAGGTCGTGTTTGCTCAAGTAGGGTCTCTGGCGGCTCACGAACAAGTCATGTCAAAAAGTAACGAGCAAAATTTTCATTTCCAAAATCTCTAATATCCTTCTTCTCTTCGACATTCTTGAATTTCATAGGTCGTGACTAGCTAAGCCAATCTAACAACCAATTTTTGCCCACTAACACTCTTCTTGCTAGAGTCCATTGCACTCTGTAAGTCACTGAGTCCACCTTCGACGATTTGAAGTCGAGGGCTTGGTACAATCGACCCTCTTTCTAAGGCAGACGGAAGGAATGTATGGAAGAGCCATGTTGAGATGTCCCTTCGTGTAGTCCAGATGTTCTCCCCGGACACGGATAGCAGCTGAATATCATCTGGCTTAGCCACGCTCTCTGGCCAGGGGAGCACGTGTGCCAGTTTGCTGCCCAGTCCTCCTGACCCAGAAAGCACCTTGCTAACGGCCGAAAGAGTTTTCTCTTCGGAAATGACGTCCAAAGCATGGCAGATAGGTTGCCCTTTACTTTTAGCCGCATCAATGATGTCTTTAACAACTGTCGGGGAACTATAATCGAAGAGCGTAGTTGCACCGAGCGACTTCAGATAAGAATGTTGGGCTGGGCTAGCGACGGCATATACGTCATAACCTGCTAGACGCGCAAGCTGAATAGCCATAGAACCAAGACCAGAAGCACCACCCCAGATGAGGACTGAAGCAGAGCCGTTCGGTAGCAGCCCAGGAGCTGGGCGGAGAAGGCCGAGATCACTGAAAAGTGCGATACTGGAAGTCGCGACAGCCATAGGTAGCATCGCACCATGCTCAAAATCGATATTGTCAGGTATCTTGGCCGCAGATGTGACAGGAACTATGGTGTATGTCTGGAAGGCAGAGTTGTCCAGCTTTCCAGACAAAAAGCCGTCTGCGAAGCCGATGACACGGTCTCCTTTCTTGAAGATCGTGACATCAGAGCCAATGGCTTCTACAACACCACTCACGTCTAGTAAGAAGAATACAGATTAAAATGTCTTCTTGTTCTCGAGCGAAGGATTCTTACCATTGCCAAGAATTGTCGGATAGGAGGGAATTGCAAATCCCCAGTCCCGCCTTTTCCAATCAACTGGATTAACAGCAATCGCATGATTGCGAACCAATATCTCTCCATTGCTTGGGCTTGGGATTGGGCGAGATTCGATAGTCAAAGGGGTCGCAATGGCTGGCAGAAACGCTGCCAGATTTTGTGGCTGCTGTTCAGTTGGGCGCCGATCACACAACAAATTTCGAAGGAAACTTTTTCTTCGAAATACAACTCGTTCGCGATCGATTTAGATCATAATTATTAAACCAAATTGATTGCAATTGCCCCCCAGTGATTCTGACCAATAGTTGTTGTGCTATTATTGTCAGTATTCCGAACACAAAACATATACGAAAATTCGCGTAAAATTTTTTTACTTCGAATTATTAGAATAAGAATAAGATTCTCAATATGAGCTCTCTTAACAATCCATCAACATTTAGGGATACAGCTATAATGGAGGCTCCTTCTGAAGCTTTCATTATACTAAACACTTATCCTATTGTTGTTCTAGGTATTCCAATACCTTCAAGCCCTCCCCCGCCTTCTGAAAACCCTTAATTCGAAATCTCTAGTTCTATTCTATCAATTAATTAGTTAGTTAGTTTTGGAAAAAGATTTGAAAATTCAATCTATTTAGTAACCTCTTTATTACTCAAGATATAATCAATACTACCTATATATTTAATCAGAATAAGAACGGGGCTTTACAATACCCCTTAGCAATCAGAATAAATAACCTAGAATCCAAAACAATCCAAATACATTCAAAAAAACTATTTTGAAAGCTAGAGATCTTATAATACTAACTTCCTCTTTCTTTCAATTACACAAAGAATAATTCAAGCTCTTAGATCTTCTAAAGATCTTTAGAGAATATATTAAAAAGAGAAAGCTTATTATAGCTTCGAATATAATTATCTTTTAAATCACTTATTTGAAAACCGCTATATGCAAAATCGAATCACAAGCGAAAGCATTAGTTAAATCTCTTTTGCCTATTATTACTACTACTATTATATTGAAACTAATATACATTAATATTTTAAAAAAAGAAGAATGGAATTTAGTCTCCAAAGAGAAAAACATTATATCTATAATATAAAAAAGAAATCTAATCTCATTCAAAAACGAATTATTTTAATCAAGCTAGATTTTCTAAATCCTATTTCCTTTTCCCCTCTAATTATCCGAAACAAAATAAATGAAGCTTTTCAAAAGATCGGAATCAAAGGGCTAGTTATTGCAATAACAACTATATTCTTTAATAATAATATCATTATTACAACAAATGATCCCTTTATATTACAATTCTTATTGGAGAAGTATTACGCTAAAAGTGATATCACCGATAGCATTAAGCTAATTGGGTTTATATAGGCATATTCTCTCGTGACAAGAAGAAAGCGATTTAGAATAATATTATCAAATTCGAAAGAATCCAAAAGGATTAATATTTATTTATTTATAGTGATTAACGTCTTGTAGAGGACCTCCCTAGGGGTATGAAAGACGTGGCTAGATCTAGAGTTACAAATACAGAAAAGCACTGATGCGCACGCTAATAAAACCTCATAGGGTAAACCCAGTTCCTTCTATATATCCTAAACAAGCCAATATAATATTCACAAATAGGGCCGTTTGATCGGCCCTATATTCCTAACGCTTCCTGCTACTCGTAAAGAGGAGCACTCTGATTATACAATTACTCCTACCATAAAACCATATATAGACAGGAGCAATGTGTACAAGTATATTGCTTCAAAGAAGCAGATGTATATATAATGGTACTCCATAGGAGCAGAGGATTCGGCTATTGGGCCGCTCGAAAGGAGCAGCCGGAACGATGGTTCCGCTGAGTAGCGGAGTGGCGCATAGACGCAGTAATAGCAGCTGGAAGGGGAATCAGTTCTCCCTCAGCATTCGATTGATCGCTTTTGCGGCCCATAATAGAAAGCTCTATTAGGGTTAGCGGTGGATTGTCGGAGCTCAATGGAGCTGTATCAAGAGATCCACACTAAGGTGGCCTATAAGGCGGCATATAGGGTGGATCCATGTGGATCAGATCGCTATAGCCTTAAGTCGTAGAACAGTGGGAGAGTGACCCGATCACTCTACCACTGAACCAGCCGGGCTCCTTGCGGAGGACAATGGTCTTTTTGTCTCCAAAAGGATTAAGAATAGCACAAAATCATTATTCACAAAATCCTAATTAAAGAATTCTCAAATATAAAAGGAATGGATCTTATACTTAACAAAATCAAAACCTTTAATCCAAACTTCAAGTCTATAAAAACCCCCTTTTGGCTTATACCCGCCTTTAAAAGAGCTTATCAATAAGAGAATACTATCATTATTATTTTTGCTATAAAATCAGAAGTAGAATTATTATTCGAAAGTGATTATATATTACTAAAAGTAATATAAGAATAAACAATTCTATAAATCAAAATCAACTATAGAATAGTAAAAATATCAAGGATTTGGGTAGTAGAATGTGTTATTATAAAAAAAATCCTTTTTATGAATTATATGGAGATAAGTATATTATATTAGTATACTTGTGTATAATATATAATATTAAAGAAAAGTTCTATCAATACTTAAAAATAAAATACTCGAATTGTTAAGAGAATTATATAGCAAAATTCAAAAATATACAAAACCTATCAGGTTATTTAACAAAATCGAATACTATTCATTTATAAATTATACTAATATTCGAATTCTTCAAATAAATCTCAATCAAAGTTATAAGCTATAGAAAACATTTTATAATTTATAATAAAACTTAATATTAATCTTATTATAATTCAAGAATCTTAGATTATTAAAAACAGAATTGATTATTTAAATTCAAGATTTATTATATACTCCAATTTCATATAAATATTATCAAAACTCAATTCTAATTACTAACTATATATACTACTATATATATCAAAACTCTTTAAACTATAATTAATCTAGCTGTTTGATTTTCCAATAGATTGCTGATATAGAGATTTTCGATTACAAAATAGAAATAAAACCTTTCAAATCATCAATATATATAACAAAGCTAATTAAGTTAAAAAAAAAAGATTTCATAATCGAAAAGTACTTATATAATATATCTATTATATAAAAAACCATTCTTTTAGGCAACTTCAATGCTTATCACCTATAATAGAATTCTGTTTTTGAAGAAAAGTAAAAAACACTAATTAATTAGCTAAATGGTTGAAGATCAGATCTTATTCTTTTAAACGAACCCGGAATTAGTATTTTCTATTAATTAATCTCCTTAATCCAAATATTTTTGATTTAATGCTAGTATTAAGGAAATCTTTTCTCAAATTCATAATTAACAAATGCTTTCAGATATAGGATCTGATTATATAGGAATTGTCACGGCGCCAAGTACTCTACCACTAAGCTACGTAACCCAAAAGGGTATAAGTAGTTGATCAACATCAAACCTACTAAGTAGAGTTATAACCAATCCGTGATAGGAATATTATTCGAATTAAAAGGAAAAGAAGATCTAAGTATTTCTAATACTGGATTGATAGTTAGATATAATATTAAGTTAGCGAATTGAGAAAAGTTCGAATTAATATTCAAATCGAAATTCTTATATTCCTTTATTCTATTTAATTTAAAATTAATTATTTCAACTAAAAAGGATTCCTTAAACCTTTTGAAAGATAAAGATAATTATTATCTAATTTTAAATCAAGTAGTAAGCAAACTTATTAGGATTATTTAAAAAGTAATAGAAAGGTGTATATCTAAAATTGTTTTAATTAAAAGGGTTAAATTATATGATATCTGAATTGAAAGATTTTTGAAAAGAGTTAAGAGAAGTAAAGTAAAGAATTGAATCAGATTTAGAGAATATAGCTTTAAGGAAGGATATCGAATTGTTAGAAACAAATATTTTTAGGTTATTAAAATAGTAAAAAAGGATTATTGGAATAAGTTTTTAGAAAAAAAGGATATAAGATAATTTTCAAAGCACTAGTTTATATTAAGACTTTCAAGATTAAAGGATATTGAATATTGTAATAAAAACTTTTTTAAAGAAAAATACTTTGTTTCAGATTAACTTTATTCTTATCCTTTTTTATTATCTTAAAACTATAATAGGAAGGGTATAAACAATTAAGTAATAGGAATAGCCTAATCTCATTCAAATCGAATTAAGCAATATCTATTCAATCAAAATCTAAAGAAAAACTTTGGTCTAGATGGGAATTATTTAAAAGATTATTATAAGGTTTATAAAGCAATCCTACAAATCTTTTTTATTTTTTTAATAAACTTATTAATTTAGAATATTATTTAAAATATTGGAAATAAGCTATAAAAGTTATTCTGAAAAAGCTTTCAAATTAGATTATTTCTTTTCAAAAGTATATAGAATAATTATATTTTAATTGTTTGGGTAAAATAAATAAAAGGATTTTAATTTAATGATTAGAAATTTTAGTGGAAATAATTTATTTCTTTTATAAGAATTAAATAGAAAAATATTAAAAGAAATCAGTAATCAATACTGTATTTTTATTGATTATAGAAATCGAAAAAAACAAGCAAATTAATAAAAAGACCTTAATATTATTTTTAAATATAAAAGAGTATTCGATTATATTTTCAAGAAATCGATTATTAGATATTTGTAAGAAACTAAAAACTATTTACAAATCTGATAGCCTGAATAGTCTTATTTCTTTAACAAAAATAATTGAAATTATTTTTTAATAATCAATCAAATCTTTCAAATTAATTTTAATGAAATATTATAAGCAGTCCGATTTCTTTAATTCTTTTCTTTATATATATTAGAAAGCTCTTTTTATTCAATTCGATTAAGTTTCTTTTTTATATAAATAATATTACTTTAATTATATATTATTTTATATAGAAAAAGAATATCAAACTTTAAAAAGAATTATAAAACAATCTATAAATTTCAATTTTTAGAAATACAATTCAATTTGATTTAATAAAAACAAAGCTAATATACTTTTCATTATTCAAATTGATAAAAAAAATATTCAATTATACTATTTAATTTGAAAATAATTATACCCCATTTCTCA